TATCCAACTAGCTCATTCTTAGTCGATTTTAGTGAGTCTACCCCAGTTATGATTGAAAGTGAATCCTAAGCATGCCTACTAAGAAATGTCCTCCTGAACTCAATAGGATTTACTCCTAAGCAAGTGACGATAGGTTTGGGATACAATTCCCAAATTTTAACTTGAACACCTTCTATTGAATTGTGTTCATACACTGTAATCTTTACTCACTACAAAATATTAATACCTTTGATCTCTTGAAAAATTAATTTGTTAAAATATAAAGTTCATCTTTAATAACAATTTTTATTTTATAAGACATTAACAACACAATTCTCTACTCAGAAATAAGTCCCCTTGATTTAAATGAGAATCTCAGGCATAGAATTGTATACAACTGGTATAGAATTGCAGCCTAATAGTTCCATGCAGAATACTGGTATGAAATCTGAAGAACAATTAAAAAGGACAGAAAGGCTGAAAGTTTCAAGCATCAATCTAAACTAGTATGTCAAAACTTGCATATTCAATTAGCACTTTTCATTGACAGGGAAAGGTTAGAGTTGAGCTATCATTTATACAATACTCTTTTTTAAAAAGACAAAAATGATGTGTTCTTAGTAAAACTGCTTTGTTTACATTCAAATCATTGATTGAACTGTAAAATAGTCACAAAGTATCAATCTATTTGTGCTATAAATTTTTAACAAAGCACTATTAACAATTTGCTTTCCAATTGTAACTAACATTTATTTTATTTTTTAAATACTTACCGTATTTTTCCATCTATAAGATGCCCCCCATGTATAAGACGCCCCTATTTTTGGAGACTCAGATTTAAGAAAATAGGGGAAATGGCCCAAAGTATAAGACACCCTCTAATTTTTGACATTATTTTTAAGGGGAAAAACCTAGTCTTATACATGGAAAATTGCATCTTTCTATTAATTGCATACACGGAATATTGGATCTTCCTATTAATTATGTCCAAGACAGCAATGAGAGCAGGGCTGAAGCTACAAAGCACATTCAAGCCTGTGGCATTGGTGTAAGACACTACACTGGGCTTGATGTTGTTATCAAATCCAATATATCGAGGATTTATATATTTTTTAAATGCTTGAAACTACATTGTGTTTTAACATAGAGTATTACTCACAACATTATTTATCTTTAGTTCATTTCTATTAACTGAAGGTTAAATAATGAAACAAAATCAGTATCTAGCTATCTGAAGCTATTTTGCAAAATTCCAAGTTCATCACTAGTTTGAAATGTGAGAAAAGTTAATACTTTGGGGGAACATGTTAAACTTTGACCACACAAAGCAGATAAATGTGCAATCTTCTGTTCTACAACAAGGTTTTAGGGGAAAAGAAGTAGGGGTGTGATTGGTGCTCGCTGTTGCAACTGAATGAAGTGTCAATATCCCATGTTTTCAACAACCACAGAGAAATCATTCTAAGATTTCTCAATAGTGAGTCACTTACAAAGGAGCACTAAAAACATATTATATGGAAGTAAATTGTCCCAGTTATTTATAATAATAATGTTGTTGTTTTTAATATTAAAATCCTACTTGCTTTTTGTTCAGCAATGGATTTTAGAGAACCACTTCTCCATTTATTTCTTCAAGCAACGATTTGAAATATTTACTACCAGACAGTACCTAATTTTAGGTTTTAAGTGCTTTAACAGCTCTATGAAATATGATCAGCAGCTGCTATATAAAACTATGCCAAATAAACTCACCATATAAAAAAGAAAACCTGCTTTTTAAGAAAGGGTTCATAAGTCTTCATTTTCAAAAGTTAAAATAAAAACCTTTACAAAAAATAATACTCAGATATAAGTGATTGAGCAATCAACCCAACCCCCAAACCAACTTTCCTTTTCAGGAGGCAAAAATCATTACCTGAATATAAGAAGCCCTACAGAAGTCAATATAAGATACATCACTAACATATTACATATTCTGTTGTCCTCTTTCAAGAATATGATAATATTTGAGGACATGACAAATGATAATTTACAGGGTAACATGGTATCAACCCATCAGAAGCAACAAGATGGTGCATTTGATATGTGACTATTTAACTGCAACTACAACAAAATACTGTAGTTATGCATGTTTGCATCTCAAATTTGCATCAATCGCCTAAAAAGATGTTGTGATCCCCAATCCTAAAAAACGTTTATTTGAAAGTAAGTTTCACCGATATCAGGAGAACTACCAAGATTATGTGCTTAGGAATGCAGATTTAAATATGCATCTCTAATGAATTTATGTAATAAATCATTGTGAGCTATACTACTGAGAAACTCAATAATAGTATGGCAGCATGACCTAGAATTCTGTCCATGAGCGCTCTGTCAATTACTGTCAAAACAGGTTTCTATTGCACAGGAACAAAGGGTTCCAAAAACATTGTACCAGATGAAATAAGCATACACTGAATATATGCTAGTATACTTCAAAGCAATAGGGGGAAAAGTATTACATTACTAATTGCACCCATAACACATCTGTAAATATGTGGCTTTTATTTTGTGGCAAGACTTAAAGTTCCATTGCAATATAAACAGAATAGAAGTGCTAGAGATTATTTATATATGAGCTTATTCTTTCAAAGATAGATAATAAAGCACTGAATAAAATTATGTCAAAATAAGTGAGAAAGTTTGTATTCTCGGTGTAATGCAGCGAGAATGAAGTATGGCGATGATATACAAAACCTATGTGCCTTTACTACAGCTTTATTGAGGGAAAGTAAAGCACTGCTCATAAACCGAAGAAAAGTTGACTTAGAACTCCACAATTTCTTTCTTTAAAAATCTGATCAGAGAGAAGGGAGTATATAGGACACATCAAATTTGAATCAACTTATGATGTACTTTCTTACTCTAATTAACCATATTAACAAGTAAATGTATCAAAAATGTATTTTGATCAAAACACTATCTTCAAAGTAAATTTAATTCCATATTAAAGATATGTGAACTACTAATGGTAATGGGATATTCTCTGCAAACTTCTATTCATGGTGATTGTGGAATAAAAGCAACATACATTTTGTTTTAAAAACTTTGACCACAGGGTAAAATATCAAACAAATGACAATTATGTAAGATTTCAATACCAGTAATTTTCTCACAGGTAGACAAAACCCCATTGTCAATCCCTGAATCTTCACTGGAAAAGCAGCACTTCATACTGCTTCATACATGGTTTTTCAATGCATGACAATGAAAATGATGCAAAGGTAAGGCGATCATCAGATTTAAAAAAAGCGGACAATGGAAGTTTGCATGTAGACACATTTTACCAATTCACATTTCCCCACCAATGATTCAACGGCCTCAAGGTAAGAGAAAAAGAACGTTAAAACATCATACCATGCAACCATAAAGCCAAAAGCTATCCTTCAGCTCTTTTATAGCAGATTTTGGGGGTGTCTAATGACAGGCAGAAAGTCAAACTAATGGCCAAAAGCCCACTGGGACGAACACTGAGAATTCTATTACTTCAAGTATGTACATACACACCAGACCTCTCCACGTGGAAGTGGTTTCAGAGCAAAACATAAGCCCCGTTATAGTGATCATTACAGCTAAGTGAAGATCACGATACTCCCTGAGATCAGGAAAGTTCCTTCGCCCCCACCCACCCCCACCAGCACCACATAAACAAAGCAGTAGCTGCTTTGTGTACTTTTAAGCCTACATGCACACACTCGGTTTTTCTGAAAGAGAGCGAAACAAACAAACAAAAAGCCGCTTGAGCTCTGTACCTTTCTACTAGTCTAGAAATCTATCTGTATTTTACGTTTGCGCCAGCCTCAACAGCAACTATATCCTTTAAAACAAAAAACCAACTGCGATGTTGCTTTAAAAAAAAGAACGTAAGACGGAGGCTGGGAAGTCCCAGGCTCTTCAACGGAGCAGAGTAATATATATTCCAGATCCAAGCTTTACAATCCAAGTCCAGGGGAAAGAAAAACAGTTTATGGTCGTTCCCAAAAAGTTGGCATCAATTCCCACCGTTCGCAGAGCGACTTTCTTAATTCTACGACCTCCATGCGTGCAATTTCCATTTGCTGGCAAGTTGCACAACACCAGCCCTCGCACCGAAACTTTCAAGAGACTTTTTTTGCGGTCAAGAAAGGGAAAGGGGGGGGGCGGGAGAACCCTACCCTACCCCGCACCCAGACCGTGCCCCTCTCTCTCCCCGGAGCTGAAACACCACACCGCCCTGGCTCGGGTCGAGCAGCTCGCCCAGGGGGGACCCGGAGCGAAGGCGAGCCTTTGAAACAGAAACCCGGAAAGCGACGGCGACGAGCAGCGCAGCGAGATCAAAAGCGGCCGCCTGATTTCTCTTACCGGTATGTCACGTTTGTTATAATGGCATAAGAAGCCGAGGAAGGAAACCCGAGACAGAATCGCCCCGGCGAAGTGGGGATTCAGGAGAGAGAACGAGGCAAAAAGTTTTGCGGTTGTTTTTCCCTGGACGCCCCTCGATTTCCTCTCGCCCCCCGTTACGGGGCGAATAACGAGGCGAGGTCACCTGGAGGGAGGCAAGAGATTTGAGGCGGGGGGCACCAAGTCCCTGCCGAGCCCAACCGCCGTCGCCCTCGTCCCCCTCTCGGCAAAATGTCGCGTGTTTCTGCCGTGCACACAAACACACGCCCGCCCGCCCTCTCTGCGCCTGGACCTCGTCCCGTGACGCGAAGGGCAAAATGGGTTTCGGTAGCTCCGCGGACGCGGAATGGACCTCCCCCCCCCTCGCGCCAGACAAGGCGCCGTCGGGCCTCCTCGTCAGCAGCTGAGCTGGGGGCTCCTGGGCATGTTTGCCTCCGGAGGAGGAGCAGGAGACTCGCTTGTGGGGCTGTTTAAAAGGAAAGCGGAGTTAGATAAGGGGCGGCGATGGGGGGGGGGAGAGGGATGCCCCCCACATACACCAGGGAAGACAAATGGGAGAAACTGAGGGAGGAGGGGGAGGGAAAGAAAAGAGGCGCACTCACCTTCTGCTGCTACCACTTTTATTCCCGCGGTCGCCGCTCCGCCTTTATTGATTTATTCTCTTCCCTGTTCCAAGTGGAGGCAAAAAAATAAAAAAGGGGGTGGGGGCACCCCTTCCAAAGTTGTGCTTCCTCCCACCACCAACCACCACTGTCTTTCTTCAAGTACTGTAGTTAAGGAAGGAGAAAAAAGTACAACGGTGAGGAAAACAAATGAGAGAAGCTTTCCGTGAGGAGAACTGGAAAAACGAAAACACGCACCCAGGCGCGCGCGTGAGGGGAGTTGGGAGGAGGCGCGGGGGGGGGAGAGGAAGCGCGCCACGTTGCCCAACTTTCTGGATGCTTTCCTGTTTTTGCCCTTGTGGCGGGAGCCGTGGCAAGTTTTGTGGTGGCGCGCTCGGCCGCGTGTTAACGTCGGCGCGTGCGTTTATTTATGTGTGCGTGTGTGAAGGAGGAAAGGGAGAAGCATGTTTACAGCAGCGGCTGCTCCCACTCGCTATTGGTTGTTTTCTCGCGCGGGCATTGGCTGGTGGCGCTACGTTGGCGGGAAGAGGCACGTGCACTTCGGGCCGTTGGCCTAGCCCCTCCCCCGCCGCCGACCCTGCTGCGCGCGCAAGTTTCCTGCTGCCCCGCCCCTTCAGTTTCCCGCTGGTTCCGAGAAGAAGGGAAGGTGCGCTCAGCCTCCCTTGGGGATAGAGCCATTTTGCCCGAGAGGAAGGTGCTCGCCCAGCAATGGGGGAAAGGTTTCCTAGCCTCCGCTTGCAGTGATTGGAAAGCAAACAAACATGGCCTTCGCATTCTGCTTTGGATCCCTCCCAGCCATCCACCCACCTCCACTTCAGACTGGGCGGCCCACAGCCCTAAATCCCTGAAGCTGGGGTTAAAATAGATGGTGCATTGAGTGATGGTGAGGGACACTGGCGAATTTCTGTCAGGCAACATAAAACAGGAGTGGGCAGACTTCAGGCTTGTGGGATCTACTCTAGATTTCTTTTACTAAAGCTCCAGTATTTGCCAACTAGAGCCTTGAGCGAAAGGCATACATACAGAATTGAATAATTGTTTCCAGTAGCACCAGATGGGTTTTACAGCCCTTCCACACACAGCAATCTGCACTTCCTTTCCCCAAAGCTTTCTTCATTTCAGCAGTATTTAGGGCAGCAAGGGGTTCATTTTGTTGATGCTATTGTTAAACAACTAGGAGTCAGAAATCTACAGTACTTGCCAGTCTAATGTGTGATACCAAGTAGATCCGGAGCTACCTTCCACTCACCCCTGCCATACAGAGCCTGCTGGATGTTTGGATTATGGCAAAGCGTAGTGTAGGCAGCTTACTTCGCTACATTCCACAGTGGATGTCTCGATCTTCTCATGCACTGCTTTTGCATTGCTTCAGCTGGGGATCAGGAGGCAGGACAACACTGGGGGCGTGTGGTTTCTGCCCCACCACCATTTTAGAATTATCAGGCAGAGGAGTTGAATGGGGAAAGTGTGCTTGGATCCTAAGATGGCTAGTCTATGATCTGTTTATCTATTCTTCAATTTGGGGTGCTATAACTCCCATCATTTCCAGCCAGCTTATCCAGTGATCAGAGATGATGGGAGTTGTAGTTGAACAACAACTGAGGACCCAATGTTTAAAGAAACGGATGTAATTTGATAAAGGCAGATTTAAAAGTGCAACAGATAAATAATACAGACAAATCCAATGAGGAAAAATATATCAAGGACTATTAGCTATAATAGCTGCAAATGAAACCTCCATGTTGATTACAAACTGGGGACAAATGACAGGAATGGCTATCATCATATCTTGCATATCAGTCTCACAGAGGGAACTAATTAACCTGTGAGGGAAACCACAAAAGTCTGAAAGTTTCCCCTCCCTTGTTATAACCTTAGGCATCTGGTTTTGTGTGGGATTCTACTTGTACAGGTGCACTTCTGTACCAGGGTTCACACTACCAAGATAAGGCAGCTCACCCCAGGTGGTGGATTTTAGGGTAGTATTGAATACTTTCAAATTATTATTTACCATGTATGCTTAGTCATAAACTCAACCTCTTCAGTGGTGCTTAATCCCAGATAAGTTCATAGCATTGCAGCCGAAATTTCCTATTACAGTTTTGCAACTTGGGGGAACGCAGAAACTATTTGAATTTTCTGCCTTAGGAACCAATATATCTTGGACTTCACACTTTGTCTTTGCTTTGCACAACTATTTACAAAGGAAAAAGGTAATGGATGGTTGTTTCTCTGTTGGGTTTTTTGTTTTGTGTGTGTGTATATTATTACTTTGATGAGATGTTGGTTTTAAGTGTGTTACCAGAATATGCACATCATGCTTGTTCTTCTGTGCTTGGTGTGAAACACTACTCATTCCCAAGACTATCAACTTTGGTCTGTTGTAACTTTCCTTGCCGTACACATACAACCAAATACCACCTGTATCACAGATCTGAGTGTTTGCTCACACATCAATCACAGTTAATACTACACTATTAAACCCACCACTGGTGTGCCCAAGGCCACCGTGACTCCCCTGGCAATCAAAGTTGTTACCGTACTTCTTTGCCCAGTAATATTTTTAGAGCGCCAGTGAAGCAGAATGTGATCACAGTTGTGCAACCAAAATTCCTTATACCATTGCAGAAGTTTCTGCAGAACAACCCTTGGCTCACTCGATTTTTCATTATTTGTGTCCCAGGACCCTCTGAGTCTGTGACTGTGACTAACTTCCTGGATTATAAAATGTAGCCATTTGTAATGGCTCTAAGTATACTAGCCTTTTTGTTAATAGAACAGTTTTAGCTTAGTGTCATCAAACTGCTTATTCATATTAGTTCTAATGAAGAACCAAAAACACAAAAGGTAAGATATTGATTCAAATGGGAAACACAGGATAAGTGGTGGTGGTTCTTGTTGTTTCTCCTTTTCTTTTTGTTGCCTTTCAGGTCAGGCTTTTCAGGGTTTTGTAGTGCTACAAACCTGCAATGCCTGTTTAACCAGAGGTAATAACAGGCCCGGAATGTGGCTGCCAAGGTTTTGGCAAGGCCAGGAAAGTAAGCTGTTCCATTTATTTTGATCCTTCACTAACTTCCCTGGTCTTCACTAACTTCCCAGGTTGCCAAATAGTTTCTGGGCTCAGTTTGAGGTGCTGGCTTTGACTTTCAGAGCCCTAAGCAGCCTGGAACTAGGATATCTCTGAATAGCCTTTTCCTCTACAAACCTGACAGAGGAGTCCATTTCATCCCAAACACTTTCCTCCATGTTCTCTTGCCAGCAAGTTGGCATGGGGAGGTGTGCTTTCTCAGTTATGGCTGAGATTTGGAACATCAACTCCAGACCTTATCACTTCCAGTCTTTTGGTGGACAGTGAAGACCAAATCGTTCCAGCATGGTTCTAATGTGAGGTCAATTTAATAGAATGGAGAAAAGGGGGTGGAGAAAGCAAAAGAACCACCAAATTCAGAGCCCTGCCAGTCTTGCATGAGTCAGAGCAGCTGGACAGAAAACAAGTATGCCAGTTTCAGTGTTGGTCAGCAAACCCGAAGCTGACAGCAAAGGAGGGACAACTATGGAGGATCCTGGGGCTGAAAAATAGTGGCCTCTGTGAGGTTGACTTCCAATGGAGAAGAAATTATAGTATCCTATACCCTGGGATTGCACCCTAAATATTGCTATTTAAATTATTCAATTTGTTTTATTAGTAGCTATGTTTTATATTAAAATTGTGAGCTGACTTGCATATAGTTTCTATAGAAAATCAGAATTGGGGGCGGGTTGTAATAAAATATATAAATAATAAAATGAGTACAGGCAATTTTAGGTGCTTCATAACACCTTCAACTCACTCCTTTAAAAAAATCGTCTCCAGCTTCAGCAAACTTTTAGAAGCCTTACAGGAAAAGGGCCTCAGATGGTATAACACTAGCAAAAAGGACAATTTGCACAGACACTATACAAAATTGATATGCACATATATATTGCAAGGAGACTGTGTGTGTCCAAGTGACCCATATGGACAGAGAAACCACATGGTGGGACCATTTACATATCCTGCTGCCGCCTGAGTATTTATGCCTGTGTGATTCTTGCATGGAAGTGTTACTGGAGCCAGAGGATAGCTGCTATCATGCTGTTGTGGTAATGTATGAATTAGCTCCAAGTCTGCTTCTCAGTTGAATCAAAGGATAGAATGGCAACATGCCTGACCTCATTCCATCCAGATACAAGAAGCTTTGTACTTCCCACCTACCCACCTTGCATTGTTTACCTAAGAACTTGAAATCCATTGTGAAAGCGTTTCTTTTTGACACAAAGTTTTTGCTTCCCTTGGGTTCCTGTCTCCATGATCCTAAATACACTGTGTGGCCCAGGGCAATCCCAATCCATTCCTTTTCTTTTGACAAGATTCTTTGTAGGTCAAGAACAAGAGCATGTGCTGCGAGGCACACAATTACTTTATTTTGCCTTATTTTATACTTCAGCAGGCTTTCTTTCGTCTGAAAGCAAGTTCATCAATCTGTAGTAGATGATATACAGGGGATCTTGCCAGTGCTTCAGAGCCTCAGATTCTTACAAAGTAAAAATGAATGGGGTTATTTTTACCATGGTTCTCAGATTTCAAGTTTTAAAAAGCGAGAGAGAAAGATATCTCCCCTCTTCAATAACTCAACATGTATAAGAGTTCAGCTGTGGATTCAGTGATAAGTTACCACAGACTAACGATTGTAAACTTGAAGTTCCAACTATGCCTTCAGATTTATTAAATAACACATACTTTATTTTTTGATTAGAAGTTATTTATTTCACAGTTAAATATATATTAAAAATTTAATGCCTAAGCAAGGATGAAAAATACGATATTCTTAATCATGAATCTTCACAGTTTTAAATATTTACATAAATAGCAAGCTTTTTCCGAAGCAATGTAAGTTTTTGAAGAAATTCTTCAATTTAAGCAGGGTTTTGTGTGTGTGTTAGATTTACTGTAATACCAATTTCCATAGCTAGCTAATATCCCAATGTTGTCCCCAAATTCCACTCTCCTCTGGCTTCTGGCACCTAAGGAAATAGGCTGGGGATGAAGCAAATGGAAAGTGCCACAAGTTCAAGGTTTGAAACACTATAGTTCCGTTTAAAGAGGAAGAGCCAAATGTCAGTGGTAGTGCACCTGTTTTGCATGCAGAAAATCCCAGGTTCAATGTTTGGCATCACCCAGTGGGGCTGGAAAAGACTTGTCTGAAGAGAACCACTGCCAATCAGTGCAAACCATACCGGGCTAGATAGACCAGTGGTAACAAACAGCCCTCCTGTGTTGCAAGATGAAGCCAGCCACTTAGGACAACAGAATTTAAGGGATACATGAAGGCTGAAATTGATATCTGAATGTTGCAGCGGTATTTTTTTTGTAAATGGTGGCCCTAGTTCAAGGTGCAAATACATGCCAAATTGTCCATTGTAATTGTTTCT